TTACAGTCTAATCAGTCAATTTGGAGCACAAACAAAGTGAAATATTGGGAGCGACTCAAACGTACGTCAGAGCTACAGTCTTGACAATCTGACAATGGGAATATCAGAAGATAAAAGCAAGAGCAATGAAAATACTGCAATGAGTATAAAAATAAATGGCAATGGCTCCATATCAATCAGTCAATGTTTTTGTGCCGCACTGGGAAAACGTGCTCGTAAAGGATAGCAGCAGATCGATCACATATTCATATATTGATTCATATATTGCATTGATGAACCAAATACCACTGCTTATAGAGACGTAAAATAATAACAAAATAACTGTAATACCAGCGCATACAAAGGGAATTCGTGACAGTGTTGTGACCATAAAAAGTGGCCGATGAAATTATTTATGTGGAATGTATGGAATGCCGAGAAACGAGTGAAGCTGCATCACAGATATGCCATGCCGATGATGATGACGATGATGATGATGATGATGGCGATGATTATGATGGTGATGTTGCGGGCTGCAGACGCATCCGTTGAGGCCACGAATGCAACATGCAAACATGCCACGAACATGTGGGGCGATCCGAATCCCAACATATTCTACGTATGCTCTGTGGCGGACCAAATGCCCCTGCAGCTGCATTGCCCGCAGGGCCGGGGCTTTTTCAATGGCCACGGCCATCTGGGCTGCCTGCCCTATGACCAGTGGCCAGCCTGTCGGCCCACAGTGGAGCCAACGTCCAGCTGCAGTGGCAACGGCAGCGCAACGGCGCACGCAAAGGACCAGCCGTGGGCCGCACTGGATCCCAATCGATTCTACATGTGTCCGGGTGTTAATGCCGCGCCTCTGCTGCTCGACTGTACATCCGGCAAAGGATTCGTGCAAACGGCAAAAACACGGGGCTGTGCGGACTGGTCGCATTGGCGCCGAGAGATGCAGTGCGAGGCTTATTACTGAACAAAAGCTGTCCCGCATCCACATCTGCCCCCCGCCAAAAAAAAATGCAACAACCATAAACGAGAAGTAAAATGCGATGGCTGCACATAAAACATGATATGTAGTCCACATGCAAAATAATAACCAGCACAAAAAATATCAACCAAAATGTGTTTATGTGTTTCTATATATGTATGTATATAAAGTGTGCAATTTGATTTTGGTATTTATGTATGCCATATTGTTATATTGATATTTATTTTATTTATATGTTTTTATTTATTTTGGACTGTTACGAAAAGCTGAATCGAACTACGCGTGCTGCAAATCCAAATGGAAAAGTGATGCTAACTATAAATAAATGATAAACATTTTTTGTTTTCTTTCTATTTCGATGTTTGTGTACGATTTTTGCCAACATTCAATAATTATAATTAGAATGTGTAAGTTTTTTGATAACATCAAATATTGCCTGACGAGCAAAAAAAAAAAAAAAAAGATATTAAATCAGCTTATTAATTTTTTGTATTTACAACGAAAGTAAATAAACAAGATATTTATGAGAAATAAATAGAATTAAAGAGATAGATGCTAGAAAAAATATATATACATTTTTAAATACATATTTTGTGGATTTGAAAGCAAAAATGATTTTCTATCAGAATTATTATATATATTTATATAGAGATTAAAATATGAAAAGTTGGTTATTTTTTTTTATGTTGAATTTAAATTTTATTTTATTGAAAAAATAGTATGAAAAATATTTGTGGTATATTTTTATATAAAATCCTAGTTACTTATAATTAGAGCATTTTAAATTTCTCTCAGTGCAGTAGCGTTTCGAATGGTTTAAAAGGAAATTGCATAAGCGAAGCTAACCCGCAGAGAGTAAGGCACAAAGATAATGTATTTGATACATACAGGAATCTTATACTGTTTGAGTGACGGCCAGGGGAGTTAATAACAAAACCCGTACACCTCGCAAGCATATGCTTTTCCATGGTTCGTGGTCAGATAGACAGGGCATCAGCTGTGAGCAGTTGCTGGAATTGATGTGCTTCGTCATCATTTTTATATTTATGCCTTTCTGCTTGTGTGTGTGTGTCTCTGCTTTCACCTGCCTGCTATTCCCTTTTACGGCTATGAGGCTGCAACGTAAAACATGGGTGCATGCAGCTGCTGCCTGAGGGCATAAAAAAGAATAAGTGGAGCAGCGCGTTTAATCGGAAATTGCATTTTGCTTTGATCTCTCT